TGAGGACTGATTAGGCCTCAGATCAATAAAAGTAAGGCAATTTAAAAGTGGCCCCAACCTATAAATAAGTACGGCATTTCTTTGAATCACCGGCTACTATAAGCTTTTTTATACAGGGTTATGGAGCTGGGTATTGCCAGTACTGACATGCACCAATGCAAAAAAAAAAAAAAAAAAAAATGTACACCAAGGAGCAGGTCTTTAAAAAAGGCTGAAGTGATCATGTGTATGTGCAGTCACCAAGATGACTTCTACATGGATGTAAAAGACCTGCATGCTTAAACATAAAGAAAACAGTGGTCACTATTGTGTCTGTGGGTTTGCGTTCATCCTTCCGCTACCATGCTGTAATATTGTTACAATGAAAGGATTATTCATGCAGAAAGCTGATTATCTACTATTCAAAGTGATTACTGATCAAATCAGTTCAGCAATGTGCTCAGAACAATCACCAAAGGTTGCCACAGCTTTTTAACCTGTAATGGGGGATGATAGAGATGATAGCTTAGGAAACGTATTAAGGTGTATTTAAAACCCCCAAAAAATATGTCATATGTTGCAACTTACCAGTTCTTAGATGTGGTTGCTGTTTTGGTTTTCTTTTTCAAGACTGTTTCTCTTTCTTTCACCTGACAATTCTATGCATAACACACTTTCTGTTTTTTCATGGCTACACTTTTCCACTCTATCTATAGAGGCAGCTCTTGTTGTCATACAGGCTGGATTTCAAACATTTCTGATTTTATTCATCTTCATTACATGGTAGTAGATGGGATGAATAGTTTACACAAGAAAGATAGCATTGTGTTTGGGGTCTGTCCAGCTCTCAAAAATTGACAAAGACACAGCATTTCTGGCAAGATCAACAGGTATTTTGGTACTTTCTGAAAAACTTCTTAGTCTGAAAAAAAATGAATGCAGACACCACATGTAAGAATTTTTAAGCTGCAATTAGGGGCGGACTGACAACTCATGGGCCCCCCAGGCAATAGGGGATCACGGGGCCCCTGTGTCCTTGCCCACACTCAAACCACACCCAATAAAGCCTATGAAAGTTACCAGGGGCATCTCATGGGGCCCCCTACTGACTCCAGGCCCTCGGGCAGTTCCCGAGTTCCCAAATGGTCAGTCCGCCCCTAGCTGCAATGCATTACATTTTTGCTTTTGGGTTTAAATACACTTGAGGGTTTAAATACACTTGAGGGCTCAATCACACCAGCAAGTTGCACTGTTTACATAGCCATGGGTGTGCTCTTGGATTAAACAACTCCAATGCACTGATGCAGCTTTTTTCTCATTAAGAACAGGGAGTAGTTGTTTAGTATTCATCTCCTGCACAGCCTGATGTGCCAATTGGGAGACAATTGGATTGGAAATGGTTGGCCTCGAGTGACAATAATGACTGTTCTGACCAACAGATGTGCTTGTTGAGAGCACTTTGAGTGATTTACTTTTCAATAAAAACATAATCAAATTTTACTTAGCTTTTTCTAAGCAAAACTAACTAATGTGATAGGTTGGGATAGATGTCCACTGCCCGTCATTCACACTCACATATCTACTTATCTATGATCAGCCAGATATGTAAATGTTTTGAATAGATTCCCTAAAGATAAGCTAAGTATTAGGTTTAATAGCCCTTCTATATCACGCAAAGCTAAATTAGAAAGGTGCTTTCTAAAAGACAAATGTTTTCCAAATTCATTGAATTTAAATTGGCTTATGGGCAGAAATTATTTAATATATTTGAATATTAATTTCAGTTATTTTCACCTCTAGAATATGTAACACTTCATACTATAAAATGCTGATAAGATTTTCTTTGCTAGCATTCCAGATTTGAACGTAATATGTGGAAATTAAAACTTTAAAAGTGCCCTGTGCCATTAACACATGCTGTTTAAGAATTTATACATACCTCTTTTAACAAAATCCTATATTGCTATAGGAATGTTTAGTTATGGAACTTATATTTATAGTCCAAATTGCCCCTAGAGGTCACCTCTCTAGAGATTAATTAACCATAAGAAACATCCAGGAAATGGATAACTGTGTGAAAGAAATATCATTCAAGTGCATTACTTGTGACAAGGCATACAATAGGTCTCCTCAGTGGGACTATGTTACATATTTAATGTGTTTTTTTTCCAGTACTAGAGTGATGTACTATGCCAACATTCCAAAACCCCCAGATAAAATATACAGTATATCAACATGTTCACAAGATCCTATTTTTTTTGTCTTCTACTATGCCATTACTTTTAGATTCACGTTTAATGCACTCCTTGTTACACTATTTATGTACAGTATGTATGTTTTTATTTTGTAGGAACCCTGTTTGATACACTTGTCATGAAATGTAAAATAGCTGAAGAAAATTCTTTCCTTCGTAGTCAGGACTTAAAGTATTTTTAAAGTGCTGCTTATTTACTTATTTTGAGCTCAAGCCCATGACACTGTTACAGTGAGGATAGAAAGTTTGGGCACCCCAGCTAAAAATGTACATAAAGAAGCCAAGGAAAGATGGAAAAATCTCCAAAAGGCATCAAATTACAGATTAGACATTCTTATAATATGTCAACAAAAGTTAGATTTTATTTCCATCATTTACACTTTCAAAATAACAGAAAACAAAAAAATGGCGTCTGAAAAAGTTTGGGCACCCTGCAGAATTTATAACATGCACTGCCCCCTTTGCCAAGCTGAGACCAGCCAGTGTCATGGATTGTTCTCAATCATCGTCTGTGAAGACCAGGTGATGTCAATAGCAAAGGTTTTAAATGCCCAGACTCATCTGACCTTGCCCCAACAATCAGCACCATGGGTTCTTCTAAGCAGTTGTCTAGAAAACTGAAACTGAAAATAGTTGACGCTCACAAAGCTGGAAAAGGCTATAAGAAGATAGCAAAGCGTTTTCAGATGTCAATATCCTCTGTTCGGAATGTAATTAAGAAATGGCAGTCATCAGGAACAGTGGAAGTTAAAGCAAGATCTGGAAGACCAAGAAAAATATCAGACAGAACAGCTCGCAGGATTGTGAGAAAAACAATTCAAAACCCACGTTTGACTGCACGATCCCTCCAGAAAGATCTGGCAGTCACTGGAGTTGTGGTACACTATTCCACTATAAAGAGATACTTGTACAAATATGGTTTTCATGGAAGAGTCATCACAAGAAAACCTCTTCTACGTCCTCACCACAAAAAAAACATTGTTTGAACTTTGCAAATGAACATATAGACAAGCCTGATGCATTTTGGAAACAAGTTCTGTGGACCGATGAGGTTAAAATTGAACTTTTTGGCCGGAATGAGAAAAGGTACGTTTGGAGAAGAAGGGGCACAGAATTTAATGAAAAGAACCTCTGTGCAACTGTTAAGCATGGGGTTGGATCAATCATGCTTTGGGGTTTGTGTTGCAGCCAGTGGCACAGGGAACATCTCACGAGTAGAAGGAAAAATGGATTCAATAAAATTTCAGCAAATTTTGGATGGTAACTTGATGCCATCTGTGAAAAAGCTGAATTTAAAGAGAGGATGGCTTCTACAAATGGATAATGATCCTAAACACACCTCGAAATCCACGGGGGATTACATCAAGAGGCGTAAACTGAAGGTTTTGCCATGGCCTTCACAATCTCCTGACCTCAACATAATTGAAAATCTATGGATAGACCTTAAAAGAGCAGTGCGTGACAGACAGCCCAGAAATCTCAAAGAACTGGAAGACTTTTGTAAGGAAGAATGGGCAAAGATACCTCAAACAAGAATTGAAAGACTCTTGACTGGCTACAAAAAGCGTTTACAAGCTGTGATACTTGCCAAAGGGGGCAGTACAAGATATTAACTCTGCAGGGTGCCCAAACTTTTGCAGATGCCATTTTTTTGTTTTCTGTTATTTTGAAAGTGTAAATGATGGAAATAAAATCTAACTTTTGTTGACATATTATAAGAATGTCTAATCTGTAATTTGATGCCTTTTGGAGATTTTTCCATCTTTCCTTGGCTTCTTTATGCACATTAATACAAATTTTTAGCTGGGGTGCCCAAACTTTCGATCCCCACTGTATTTCAGATAGACTCGCGTAGACAACAGCATACTCCCCAAGCAGTTTACTTAGTGTTGAAGTCCTGTAAGCAATTATGCTGCTAGCAGTGTTCATTTTGACATCAAATTTCGATTTAGTTTTAATCATAGTCTTTTGGCTAAAATGCCATTTTAGTTTTAGCCGTATTTTAGACATCTGAAATGTTTTAGTTTTAGTTGACTACATGCTACATTTTGTCGACTAAAATCTCCAGTAAAGTTTAGTCAACTAAAATAATTAAAAGAAACCCATTAGATTTTAATAGACTGAAATTATAATTTTAGTCTATTAAAATCTAATGGGTTTATTTAAATTGTTATGCATTATTTAAACCATTCTGTAGAATTTCAAAACTCATTATATAGACTTGGAAACACGAAAAAGTGGTGACAGAAAAAGACTGAGTGGTTCATCGAGTATGCCCTTTTTGTTTTGGGGGGGGCGTTGGGGTTTTTTTCGGTTAACTTTTTTTGTTTGAGTATAGATCTATGCTTGTCCCAAGCATGTTTGAAGCTATTTACTGTTGGCTGGCTCACTACCTCTGCTGAAAGTTTATTCCAAGCATCAACTACACTTTCTGTAAAATATTACTTTCTCAGATTAGTTTTGAACTTCTCTCCAGTTAGTTTAAGGTCATGTCTCCGTATTCTTGATTTTGGTTTCCTGTTGAAAATACTACTCTCCTGAACCCTTTTTGCCCCTTGATGTATTTAAAGGTTTCAGTAATGTCTCCCCTTTCCCTTCCTTCTTCTAGACCAGGGGTCCTCAAACTTTTTAAATAGGGGGCCAGTTCACTGTCCCTCAGACCGTTGGAGGGCCGGACTATAGTTTAAAAAAAAAAACTATGAACAAATGCGGACACAGAACAGGAGATGACCAGAGACTGCGGACACAGTACAGGAGGTGACCAGAGACTGCGGACACAGTACAGGAGATGACCAGAGACTGCGGACACAGTACAGGAGATGACCAGAGAGTGCGGACATACAACGGTGGCAGGAATACTGGGCCGGCCACTCCATAAAACGCACAGACATTTCCCCAAGTGTGTCTTATGGAGCGAAATATACGGTAAATGCAGGACACCTTGTTGGGTCAGATCTGTGTACAATGTAAAGCGAGAGGGGGGGAGAGATAAGGAGGGGAGAGAGAGAGAGAGGAGGGGGAGAGAGAGGAGGGGGGGTAGAGAGAGAGAGGAGGGGGGAGAGAGAGAGAGAGAGAGAGGGGGGTAGAGAGAGAGGAGGGGTAGAGAGAGAGGGGGGGGGAGAGAGAGAAGAGGGGGGAAGGGAGGGGGAGAGAGAGAGAGGAGGGGGAGGGAGAGGGAGAGAGGAGAGAGGGGGGAAAGAGAGAGGGAGGAGATCAATCATCTATTGCACTTATCTAGGGTCCATGGCCGTGATACCCGACATGCAGCAATGGAGTCTCCTCTCTTGCTCCCCCTCTTCATGGTCAGCTCTAGGCTCTGCCCTCCGGCTGTGACGGTTGCATGCACTGATCAGAATAGATGGCCGGCTGGCTGCAGAGAGGCCAGGTGAGTGGTGCGGGTTCATAAGCTGAGCCCACCTTCTCCTGTTCTAGAATTGCTGATCCCGCCCTCCTGCTTCCCGCCCGAGCCCTGCCAAGCTCTCCCGACCTGCCAAACCCTAGTCCCTTGCTTCGTGGCAGATACCCCCCTGCCAGACGGGCCCGATAAATGTCCTCGGCGGGCCGTAGTTTGAGGACCCCTTCTCTAGACTGTACATGTTAAGTTCCTGAAGTCACTTTTGATATGTTTTATTTCCCAGACCTTTCACAATTTTTGTTACCCTCCTCTGGACTCGTTCTATCTTATCAATATCTTTTTGTAAGTGAGGTCTAACTAAAGATCTATATAGGGGAATCAGAACCTCCTTCCTCCTGCTGGTGACCCCTCTAGTAATGCATCCTAGAATTCTATTTGCTTTCCCCACTGCCTGGTCACACTGTTTGCTCACTTTGCAATCATCTGAAATTAGTACCCCCGAGGCCTTTTCCACTAAAGTGCTAGCCGCAATGAAACCCCAATGTTGTACTCTCTCAAGGGATTATTTTTCCCTATCTGCATTATTTTACATTTAGAAACATTGAACTGAAATTTCCACTTTTTTTGACCAATCTTCCAGCAATCCCAAATCATGTTCCATGTTCCATACACCTCCAGGGATATCAACCCTATTGCACTCCTTTGTGTCATCAGCAAAAATATGTACCTTACTCAACAAACCTTTAGTTATATCACTTACATATAGATTATATAGAGCAGAGCCTAGTACAGAGCCTTGCTGTACACCACTAGTGACTGGTCTCTGTTCTGAGTGAACCCCATTTACAGCCACACTCTGGTATCTATCCTTTATCCAGCTACATATCCATTGAACTACCCAAGGGCTAACTCCTAGCTTGTACAACTATTGTATTAGATCGAAATGTGGAACTGTATCAAATGTCTTGCTGAAATCAAGATATGCTATGTCCACAGTGCCACCCTGGTCCAAAACATTGGTAATATAGTCACAACATCCAATCAAATTAGTCTGACATGATCTGCCCTCAGTAAAGCCATTCTGCTTTGGATCCAGCAAGTTGTGTGTTTTTAAGTGATCAATGATCCTTCTTTTCAGGAGTGGTTCAAATAACTTGATTACAACCGATGTTAAATTCACTGGCCTGTAATTGCCAGCTTCTACCTTAACTGCCTCCTGCCCGCCATATAAGAAAATGACAGATGGACAATGGTTCTTTCATTCTCATATGACATCCTCCCACTCTAACTGTGCATGCGTGCTCCAGCGATCGGTGGTGCGCTGTGTTCCTGGGACACAGCAGATCACTGATTAGGGTAAAGAGCTGATGAAATGATTGCATGTAAACAAGGAAATGAAGGTTTTTGGCAGGCCTCTACTCACGTTGACAGCACGTGAGGAGAGGAGAGCTGGCAATCAGCATTTCTCAGTGGGGAAATGTACACTGAACATCAGGGCACTGATGATCAGTGTAGCCCCATCAGTGTAAGTGCTCATCAATACAACATACCATTGCACATCAATGCCACATATCTGTGCCAACCAGTGTACATCAATGCCACATATCAATGCCCATCAGAGCTGCCTTTCAATGCTGCATATCAGTGCCTGTCAGTGCCGCCTAACAGTTCCAATCAGTGCCAGTCAGTGCTGCTTATCAGTGCCATATATGAGTGCTGCCTTTCAGTGCTCATCAGTGATGCCTGCCAATGCCCACCAGTGATGCCTGCCAATGCCCATCAGTGCCACCTAAAAGTGCCTCCTCATCAGTGCCGTCTATCAGTGCCCATCACTGCAGCCTCATTAGCACATATCATTGAAGGAGGAAAATTACTTATTTACAAAATTTTATAACTGAAACTAAGAAAAAAACTTTTTTTTTCAAAATGTTCAGTCTTTTTTAGTTTATTTAGCAAAAAAAAAAAAAAAACCCAGTGGTGATTAAATACCACCAAAAGAAAGCTCTATCTGTCTCAAAAAAATTATACAAATTGTGTTTGGGTACAGTGTTGCATGACCACGCAATTGTCATTCAAAATGCAACAGTGCTGAAAGCTGAAAATTGGCCTGGGCAGGAAGGGGGTAAAAGTGCCCAGTAGGCTTGTGGTTAATAAGATCAGTTAATGGTCCAACAACTATACCTCAAAGTTCTCTTTGAAGTCTGGTATGAATCTTTAACAGAGCCAGTTCCTCTGCTATCTCTGTCTCCAGAAATTCTAAAAATGAACCAACATTACTAGAACCAATATGATTTCCCAATTTATTATTGTTAGTAAGATGTATTTCTGAGAAGACTGAACAAAAGTAACTGTTTAAATGGTTTGCTACATCTAGGTCTCCTTCAACATAAGTGTTGTGCCCAGTTTTCATTTTAGTGATCCCATTGTATTTTTTTCTTTCTATCACTAATGTACCTAAGTCTAGGTTCAAACCTAAGCGTTTTCCGCAGCGTTTTGCAGAAATGCACAGCAGTCCATTTAACATGATTTCCTATGGGACACGTTCACATCTCCGTGCTTTCACCCGGTGCATTTTTTTGGAAAGGGTCAGGGACTTTTATAAATGCAAAACGGAAAATGTTTGGTTCTATAGACTTCAATAGATGCATTTTTGCTGTGTTTTTGAGTTTTAATCTGCCTAGCAACAAGGGAAAAAAAAACACAAAATGCATTAAAAACGCAGCAAAAATGCATGTGAAAATACGCAAAATGCGCCATTTTGGTACACCCTGGAAGTATAAACCCATATCAATACATGTGTTTGAGGTCTGATTTCAACTGATGTGATGTAAGTGTTCATCTGACATTTCTCCATTAAAATTTTTGCTTTAAAATTACTACACTATGTGAGTTCTCTCTCTTTCTCCTCTGGGATGTGTCTGAGCTGGCTGATGTTCCTGTGAAAAGGATTACCAGTTTCAACACTACTGAAATCATTACGGTTATACGGTGAGGAAGGCCATATTCCTGTGATCGGTGTGATTCCATCATCTTGGATATCTATTAAGGGCCCTGGGAGTGTGAGGCCTGAAAGCTGTGTGGCCCCTTGGGGTCTTGGCATGGAGGCGATGAGGCATTTTAGCCGGTGACGGATCTATCATTCATTTCACCCAGTTGCTTTGTGCGTTTAGAGATGGCGATCTATTTACATGGACTTTATGCCGATTTGATGATCACTAGAGATGAGCGAATCGAACTTGGCGAAGTGGAATTCGTTTCGAATATTAGGAAAAATTTGATTCGCATCGAATCCGAATTTTAGCCAACTTCGGATGCACGAATCGAATTTTCCCCCGATCAGCCGGCAAAAGTGTCACTGCAGAGAGCTCCGCCTATTTCTGACAGTTCTCTGACAGTTCTGACAGTTCATTTACAGCGGTTGAAACATTGTATCTATTTGTTTCCATTTAGGATACAGATGTTTTTTTCGGAAATAAATAGATACAATGTTTCAACCGCTGTAAATGAACTGTCAGAACTGTCAGAGAACTGTCAGAATAGCGGAGCTTCGCTCCTGCAGATACACTTTTTGCTATGTACTGGAATTCTTCTTCTTTTCATTCTTTTCTTCTTTTCATTCTTCATTCTTCTTCTTCTTCTTTCTTCTTTTCATTTCTTCTTTTCATTCTTTCTTCTTTTTCATTCTTCTTCTTTCTTCTTCTTTTCTTTTTCATTCTTCTTTTTCATTCTTCTTCTTCTTCTTTTCATTCTTCTTCTTCTTCTTTTCATTCTTCTTTTCATTCTTCTTCTTCTTCTTTTCATTCTTCTTCTTCTTCTTCTTTTCATTCTTCTTTTCATTCTTCTTCTTTTCATTCTTCTTCTTCTTCTTTTCATTCTTCTTTTCATTCTTCTTTTCATTCTTCTTCTTTTCTTTTCATTCTTCTTCTTTTTTCTTTTCATTCTTCTTTTCTTCTTCTTCTTTCATTCTTCTTCTTTTCATTTCATTCTTCTTTTCATTCTTCTTCTTCTTCTTTTCATTCTTCCTCTTCTTCTTTTCATTCTTCTTCTTCTTTTCATTCTTCTTCTTCTCATTCTTCTTTTCATTCTTCTTTTCATTCTTCTTCTAATTCTTCTTTTCATTCTTCTTTTCTTTTCCCCCCCCCATTCTTCTTCTTTTCATTCTTCTTCATTCTTCTTCTTTTCATTTTCTTCTTTTCATTCTTCTTCTTCTTCTTTTCATTCTTCTTTTCATTCTTCTTCTTCTTCTTTTCATTCTTCTTCTTTTCATTCTTCTTCTTCATTTTCATTCTTCTTTTCATTCTTCTTCTTCTTCTTCTTCATTCTTTCATTCTTTCTTTTTATTCTTCTTTTCATTCTTCTTCTCATTCTTCTTTTCATTCTTCTTCTTCTTCTTTTCATTTCTCTTCTTCTTTTCATTCTTCTTCTTCTTCTTTTCATTCTTCTTTTCACGGATTCTTTTTCTTCTTCTTTTCATTCTTCTTCTTCTTCTTCTTCTTTTCATTCTTTTTTTCATTCTTCTTCTTTCATTCTTCTTTTCATTCTTTTCATTCTTCTTTTCATTCTTCTTCTTCTTCTTTTCATTCTTCTTCTTCTTCTTTTCATTCTTCTTTTCATTCTTCTTCTTCTTTTCATTCTTCATTCTTCTTCTTTTCATTCTTTCTTCTTCTTCTCTTCTTTTCATTCTTCTTTTCATTCTTCTTTTCATTCTTCTTTTCATTCTTCTTCTTCTTCTTTTCATTCTTCTTTTCATTCTTCTCATTCTTCTTTTAATTCTTCTTTTCATTCTTTTCATTCTTCTTTTCATTCTTCTTCTTCTTT